CTATTGTAGCTTTGGGATTTTATTTACTCTTTCAGCTTCTCATACTAGGGAGATAGATGTCTTGGTTACTTTTCTCTTGTTGCTGGGACAAAATACCTGACACCCAAAATTAAGGAAGGAGGGTTTTATTTAGCTCACAGTTTGTGGAGGTTTCAGTCTATACTCAGCTGGCTCCAAGGCAGAGTGGCACATAGCAGAGAGCAACAGTTCATGGTGGTGGAAAACAGCAAAAGCAGCAAAGCACCTGCCTGGCAAGCGCAAGGTCATGAGTTTGGTTCCCGGTACTGGAGAAAAACCAAAAAAAAAAAAAAAGAAAGAAAACAGCAAAAGCAACAAGAGCAAAAGGGAGGAGTGGAGGCAAGCAGCCTCTTTCCCTCCCTTATATTGTATGTAAGCTACCTGCCCCAGGGTGGGTGCGGCACTTGTACCCATAATCCCAACAGTAGACCATGAATCCATCATAAACTCTAGAAGCCCATCCCATGACTGCATGAGGCTTTAGGGAGACATCCAGACACAAACCATAACAGGAGGCAATACCATGTTTGCACATGTGTGTCTGATTTATTTCACTTATGAGTATGGACTCTAGTTGCATCCATTTACCTATGAAAACCTCAATTTTATCTTTCTTTTTAGCTGAGTAAGACTCCACTGTATAAAATACCACTTTTTTTTATCCATTCCTTGATTTATGGCTATTCGTGTTATTTCCAAGGTTTAGCTGTGACAAATTGTGCTGCTCGAAACATGGGTGCATATCTATTGCTGTGGCATGATGTTTTCAATTCTTCTGGAAAAATACCCAGAAGGGGATAGTTGGGTCGAATGGGACCTCCAATCATAATTTTTTGAGGAATCTCCGCACTGATTTCCACAGTAGTTTCACCAGTCTATGCTCCCACCAAAGTAGAGAAGGGTTCCTTTTTCCCTACAGCCCCTCCAGCATTTGTTACTGGTTGATTTCTTGATGATAGCTATTTCTTTCTGGAGTGAGATGGAATCTCAGTATTTTTTAGTTTGCATTTCTCAAATGACCAATAATGTTGAAAATTTTTTCATACATTTATTTGCCATTTGTACTTCATCTGAGAAGTGTGTATTCATCTCAGATGCTCATTTTTTATTAGGTCTCTGAATTTTGGGGATCTGATTTTTTATTTATTTATTTATTTTTTTTTTTCCTGGTACCGGGAATCGAACTCATGACCTCGCACTTGCCAGGCAGGCACAGTGCCGCTGAGCTAAATCCCCAGCCCATGATTTTTTAGATTCTTTATATGTTCTAGATATAAATCCTTTGCTGGAGGGACAGTTGGCTAAAATTAAAAAAAATTTAATATAGTAGATCTCCCAATTCAAAGTGTTTCAGCTTCTGTGATTACATGAATATTGGTACATACAAAGGAAACGTTCTGGAAGGATGTAGACATTTGGTGGATAGTTACCTTTGGTGGAAGAGGGAGAGATAATTAACTCTACACAGTGTGTGTGGGGTCCTCTGGCAGTGTTTAAGAAAAGAATATCTCTAAAAAAAAAAAAAAGAAAAGAAAAGAATATCTCTAGAATGATGGATGCAGCTGTGTTCACAGAGAGATGGTTGACTTAATGACCTCATTGCCCCTGGCATCCACCCCGTGATAGATTGGCTACCCCAAACTCCTCAGGCTCTGTGTTCCTTTATGGGCAGTGAGCTGGCGGGAACATTCACAATAAAATAAGTACTAAAATTTCTGCAGAGGCAAATGAACTGCACACTTGCGTTTGGAGATATACTTGCAACTCTTTTTTCTATCTGTCAATAAGTTAGTACAAAGGCAGTTGTGGATGTCAAAACCTAGTCATGGAATAGTGCACTTTTTTTCAGAACTCCTGCAACATTTAAAGGGATGGTTGGTTATTTTTCTCATTACAAATTACAAGTAATGGTATGGAGTGTAGCTCAGGGGTAAAATGCATGCTTAGTATGAGCAAGGTTCTGGGTTCAAGCTCCAGCAACAAGAGTAAAAACAAAAACCAAGCAGTGTGTGAGCACTGTAAAACATCGAAACAAAATAGATGTGTATAAAATAAAAAGTACAAGGGGCTGGGGACTTAGCTCAGCATCACAGTGCCCACCTGGCAAGTGCGAGGTCGTGAGTTCAATTCCTGGTACCAGAAAAAAAACATAAATAAATAAATAAGCGAATAAAAAGTACAAGTTCTCCCTTTGTACAAAATAAGAAGTGAAAATTCTCACCAAATGACTGCACATAACTTGACATTGGAACATGTGTAAACGTATTTTTCATTAATATTCAAATATTCATTTTTAAGTAAAATGGCATTGTGCAAAATATGGAAAGCATTTTCACTTTCACTTAATATATCTTGGGCCACAGACTATATAGGTATCTTTAGATATATTTCTTCCTCTATCTGGTAGTGGATATCAAACCCAGGAGCACTCTATCACTGAGCTGCATCTCTAGTCCTCCCTCCTTTTTAAGACAGTCTTGCTAAATCACTAAATTGCCCAGGCTGGGCTTGAACTTGATTCTCTTGCCTCACCCTCCCACACTGCTAGGATTAAAGATATGAGCTACCTCATCTAGCCTTTTTATTTCTTATTTTGAGACAAGGTCTTGCTAAATTGCCCAAGCTGGCCTGGAACTTGTGATACTCCTGCCTCAGCCTCCTGAGTAGCTGGAATTACATACCTGCATCACTATGCCCAGTTATTTCATTCTTTTTCACAGCTGCATAATATTCTGCTGTACAAAGATATCATTGTTTATATCACGATTTCTCTATTTAGACATATAAGTTTGTCCTCTTTTTTTCACTATTGTTGCAGTGCTGCAACAGTGAATATCCTGCAGGCAATTATTTGGGTTATGTGTGAAAATGTTTCTTTGGATGTTTTAAAAAGATTCTGTACACTAGATCTGGGTGTGATAGTGCACACTTGTAATCCCAGCACTTTGGGAGATTGAGGAAGGAGGACTGCAAGTTCAAGCCCAGCCTGGGCAATTTAACTAACCCGTCTCTATTAAAAAAAAAAAAAAAAAAAAAAAGGAAAAGGAAAAAATTAAAAGGACTGATGACGTAGCTCAGTGAGAAGGCCTGAGTTCAATCTCTAGTACCACACACAAATTATGTTAAAATGCTTATTTCATTGCTGGAGATTCAACCCAGGGGCTGCAGCATGCTGGGCAAGCACTCTACAAAAACTTCGACCGTGGCTATATGCCACTGCCCCCGATGTAGGAATGCCTTTTAAATTACAGACAATATTTACTTCATATATTGAAAACTTCCCACCTTCTATTTATTTTCAATGGGGGCTGGGGATTTAGCTCAGCGGCACAGTGCCTGCCTGGCAAGCGCAAGGTCGTGAGTTCGATTCCTGGTACCGGAAAAAACAAACAAACAAACAAAAAAGTATTTATTTTCAAGCATTAGGATGATGTTCTGCAGAGAGATTTACAATTTCAAGTAGTCAAGTCTATCAAGTCTTTTCCTGTATTGCTTCTGGGTTTGTCACTTAGAAACACATCTCTCTATGATTATCACAATATTTTTCTTCTATTGCTTTTTATTTTGGCTTTCATACCTACATCTTTAATCCAGTCATACATTATTTTTGTCAATGATTTAAATAGAGTTCTTCTTAAGATTATTAATTTTTCTCCAATCCAGTTTGCAAAACTTTCGGGCGAGATTTTTAGCGAGCAATGAAGGAAATGTAAATCTGAGGACCCAGCCCTCTTTGGCACTCACATATGCTAGCTATTTTTAGAGTGTGTGATTCTATCTTTAGGCGATTTTGGGGGGGAGGGGTTCACTTTGGAACTCACTATGTGTGCCAGGCTGGCCTTTAACTTGTGGTCCTCCTGCTTCAACCCCACGAGTGCTGGGATTACAGGCATGTGCCACCACGCCTGGCTTCAAGCGATTTTTATTTTAGTTTTTTAGTTTAGTTTAGTTTAGTTTGCTGTGTGTGTGTGTTTTCGACACAGCGTCTCGCTGCGTAGTTCAGGCTGGCCTCGAACTCGTGGCAATCTTCCTGCCTCAGCCTCCCGAGTGCTGGGATTACAAATGTACGCCACCACTCCCGGCCTCAAGTGAATTTTAAAATCCCAATTTGTAGATAAATTGGGTGGTGGGCTGGGCACTGTGCGCAGCACCTGTAGACTCAGTTACTCCAGAGGCAGTGGGAGGAGGATCGCCTGAACCCAGGGGTTCTGGGCCAACCTGGACAACATAGGAAGACCTTGTCTCAAAAAAAAAGCCATAGAAAGAAAGGAAGGGAACGAACAAACAAACAAACCCTGGTTATTACACAGAGTAAGGGCAGACAGTAAGTAAACCGCAGCCACTACAGCGGAGCAAAATATGCTGTATACCACGCCCGCTTCCCAACCTCTCGCGATACTTTACGTCATCAGAGAGCGCCAGCGGCCCGGGAGGTCGCGCGGCTTGCGTCGCACCAACTTTGGTTGCACTGTGCTGTCTCACCCGCAAGGCCGAGAAGCCGGGAAGTCAATTTGTCTGTCGTACCTGCAGCGTCGGGCTTTCCAGTATCATGGAGTACCTCATCGGCATTCAGGGCCCAGACTACGTCCTTGTGGCCTCCGACCGGGTGGCGGCCAGCAGTATTGTCCAGATGAAGGACGGTGAGAGGCGGCGGGGCGGCCCGGCCGGGCCTGGGTGAGGGGCGGCCGCAGGGTGTTCGGGGGTGTTGGGGGAGTCCCGGGGAGGTGCCGGAGGTGGAGCCCAGTCGGCCCTCCCCGCCTGGAATTTTAGAACTAAGGAGCCCCGCAGATAGGTCTGGCATTTTTGTTCCTCCGTCAGTGATTTTTGCTAGGTGAGAGTTGTAGAGCAGTTCAGTTTGTGAGAGTTTGAGCGTGTGCTGGGCGCCCAGCGCCCTAGACCTCCAAACCTCCGAAAGGTGCCGTCGCTAAGGCGGAGGTTACTTTCCTGGCGACAAAAGGCGAGATCCTGGGCAGGGTGAGCCAGGGACCAGAAGATTGGTGTTTCCCTTCCGCCTCCCTTCTCAAGCCACAGCTCCCGTCCTTTTCTGGATGTCACTAGCTGCCGGGTTTTCCTTATAGGTAAGAAGTTAATGGAGTTAGGGGACGGAAGCCTTGTGGCTTACATGCTTTATGACTTGGTTACAAGTTATTTTGCAGCGCCCAGATTTCCTCACCTGTTAGATTGTTAATACCCAACTCAGAAGTTGTTGGGAGAATTGAGTTAGGTGCAAATGTTTAGCATTTGACAGATATTTAACAGTAATAATGTGAAACACCCGTGTCTCAAGTGCCATGTTAAGCGACTTAAGCTAATTCACTTAACTTTTTGAGAAAGGCATTATTGTATCCCCACTTTGCAGATGTTAGTTTGAGTCACAGAAGTTAAGAAATTTGTCTAAGATTGCCAGGTATGGTGGTGTACACCTGTAGTCCCAGCACTTGGGAGGCTGAGGCAGGAGGATCCCAGCTAATTTCAAGGCCAGCCTGGACCTCATGGTGAGGCCCTCTCTCAAAAAATTAAAAAAGAGAAATTTGTCTTAGATCACAAATGACAGAATCATTGTTCAAATCTGTGCAGCCTGAGTCCAGGTCTTTTCCCCATAATTACCATACTATACTTTCTCTCTATTAGTAAGTACATGCTCATACATAATTTTAAAAATGTTTTTTGATCTGCAGAATCTCAGCGTATCTTTTCATGACCAGTCATAGACAGATTGCTGTTAAAAATATTATGCTTTGGCTCAGATGCTTTACAGTTCATTTGACAGATAGGTTTTGAGCATGAATGTGCACTTTACAGTGCTCAGTGCTGAGGGGTGCAAAGAGGATTAAGACAGTGGGCCCTGTTTTAAAAGAAGTTGCAATTCAGTACGAAACTCAGAAATGTATACAGATAATCACAGCACAGTCTAGAACATGATGTATCAAGCACAATCAAACTTTTCAGGTAATATAGAGAAGGAAGAGATTTTCTTAGGTAATGAAGAGGAAGAAGAGATTGTTTCTGGTTGGAGAAATTTGGGAAAGCTTTGAGGAGAGAGCCCATTTGGTATCCTGAGTGTACACAACGAAAAAAAAAAAAGAAATCTGGTGCTTCCTGACGTACATGAACAAGAAATATCTACTGCTGCTTTTGTAAGGAGAAAGGTTTCTGATGATCAGGCTGTGGCTCCTCGCTGAGAAAATGGAAAGACTTTGTAGGATCTTTCCTTGAGTTCTTTCTGAACAAGAAAGAGGGACCTGGAATTGACTTGTTAAACAGCTGCGGTATATAGACTGTTCCTCAAGCGAGGTTACATTGTGAAACTTCACGTTTAGTTTGTAGTTGTGTTTGTAAACCAGTGTCCAAAGGAATAAATTAGTTTTGCAAGTAAATTTGACATTTCTTTTGAATGCTAAGGCCTTTGACAAGCAAATGATTTTAGCATGAGGTGGAGTCTTAGGTGGAGCAGCCAAGTAAATACCTTTATAAGTCTCTGTTTTCTCCCAATAATGTACTTAAAACCTTAGAAAAATAGGATGAGCTTTCAGTCTCCTACATAAACTGTACTAGGGAAATGCAACATATTAGTCGTAGGGGATCCAGTGCATTAGATATAATCCATAGAAGGGACCAAGACATTAAAAAAAGATGATTTTGTATGATAAAAGAACTATTACTAGTTAATACTAAGTTGATTATTAAGTTAATGATTTCAGGAGTAAATAGTAGTCACAGAACGGAAAGAGCGTTATGATCCAGGAGAAAGATGAATTTGAGTTAGTTCTTGAAAAACAGTTGGAAATAATTGCATTCAACTTTCAATTACCCTTTAGTCTTTTCTGGTATAAAAATTTTATGATAGAAATTTTCAAATTGTCTGAGGAACTTGTGTAGAGCAGGCAAGCATGTTAAAAAGTAGTAACCCTTTAAGACTCATTTTTCCAAGTATAAAATAACAGTTTTAATCAGTTTCTTTTTTTTTTTTGGTTTTTTTTTTTTTGGTTTTTTCCGGTACTGGGAATCGAACTCACAACCTTGTGCTTGCCAGGCAGGCACTGTGCTGCTGAGCTAAATCCCCAGCCCCTAATCAGTTTCTTAATATGTCACTTTTTGATACTGTAGAGAAGATACTTCTCAAAAATTGCCTGCTCATTAAAGTTAAGTGGCGCAGCTGTCAGTTTGTTCAATACAGTATACCAATATGCTGCCTGCTTGCTGTTTGTTTATTTGTTGAGCTAGGGATTGAACCCTGGGGCTCCTGTGTGCAAGGCAAGTACTCCACCACTGTGCTATATCCCCAGCCATTTTTATTCTGAGACAAGGTCTCAGCCTGGCCTAGAACTTGGATTTCTTCTGTCTCAGCCTCCAAAGTAGCTGAGATTACAGGTGTGCACCATTGTACCTAGCTCAGATTTTTTTTCTTATTGTAAAAATAATGCAAACTTATTAAATAATATTTTCTTACAAAGGCAGTACATATTAAGTACAGGAATTTAAGAAATACTGACAAGTAAAAAGAAGGAAATAAAAATTGACAGTGTTCCTACTACTGGCAAGAATTTAGAATAGGGGCTAGGGATTTAGCTCAGCGGCAAAGCACCTGCCTGGCAAGTGCAAGGTCAGAGTTCGATTCCTGGTACCGGAAGAAAAACAAAACAAAACAAGAACTTAGACTATACCCTTCTAAATATATATATATATATATATGAACGTTTTTCTTTTATAAACAAGTTTGCAAACTATACTCTTCAAATCTCCTGTAGTTTATATAACAAATAAAAGTGTATGTGCTTAGGAGTTTTAAGGCAGTTTGATATTATCTACAGGTATATTTTATGTGGAATTTTTACCCCCCCAGTCTTAGCCATGTTTCTAGTATCTACAGCCCTCCAACATATGTAAAATATTTGATAGTAGCATTTGTTCTTTAAATCCTATTAAGGGATTTTGACATTTCAAAAGCTTTCGTACAGGAAACATGTCTCCCAGGGAAGATTATTCAGCACTATTTTAAAAATGAAAAGTGAAAGTAAGAATAAGATAGGAAGATTTAGGCTTTTTCTGAAGCTGTAGACTGAATATGGTGTTTTCTTCCTTAGGCAGTAATTGCATTCTGAGTATTTGTCTATCTAATCTGAATGAGTCTGGTTCAGCTAGATAAGGTTAGAGTATTACGATTTATGTGAGGTATTTTAAATAACTTACTGTTAGAATAATTGCTACAATTTTTGCTTTGGTAGCCAATTTTCTCTTTTGCTTTAGAAGTGGTTTACTTTATAAGATGATTTATATTCTTTCAGCTGTTTTTTCTCTTTTTTTGAGATGGTTCTTGCATTTTGTTATAGCACTGTCCTTTTCAAGTATCTTTTTGTATGTATATGAGTATAATAACACATTTGTATTTGTAGAAACATTTCAGAGTTTTGTAATCATGAGCCTAAAGATAATCACACTGGCTAGCTTTCTTCAGTTTTCTCTGTTGATTTATTCCTTGCATTTTAAATACCTTTAAATGTTTTAAACTATATTTTAAATACTTACCCATTTAGGTATTTTATTGGTGGGAATTGAACTCAGAACTTTATGCATGCCTAGCACATGAATGCAGTTGACTATTAAAATCTTCTAAAGAAAATGATTATTTAAATTCATCAATATATTAATTAATAAATATGTTTATGATTGCATGTATAATAGCTATCAGTTTCCCTTAAGACAATTTCTAATGTGAATTTTTTCTTTGGGCAGATCATGACAAGATGTTTAAGATGAGTGAAAAAATTTTACTCCTATGTGTTGGAGAGGCTGGAGACACTGTACAGTTTGCAGAATATATTCAGAAAAATGTGCAACTTTATAAGATGCGAAATGGTGGGTAATATTTATAGCTTTGGTCAGCATATTAGTTTGCAAGGGTTGCCATAACAAAGTGGCTTAAACAAAAAACTTTTCTTCCTAGTTCTGAAAGCTAAAAGTCTCAGGTCATGGTTTCAGCATGGTTGATTTCTTCTGAGACCTTTCTTTTTGTCTTGTAGATGGCTATCTTTTTTCCATGCCTTCACATGAATTTTTCTTGGTACTATCTGTCTAAGTGTCCTCTTCTTTTTTTTTTTTTTTTTTTTTTTTGGTTTTTCTCTGGTACCGGGAACCGAACTCACGACCTTGCGCTTGCCAGGCAGGCGCTTTGCCGCTCAGCTAAATCCCCAGCCCCTAAGTGTCCTCTTCTTAAAAGAAGGAACTAGTCATATTGGATTAGGGCCCATCCTAATAACTTGATTTTAATTTAATTGTGTTTTTAAAACCCTATATTCAAATATAGTCATATTCTGAGATATTGGAGTTAGGACTTCAACATGAGTTTTTGGAAGATGCAATTCAGCTCATAACTATTGATTTTACTTTACATTTGAAATGAAGGATATTATTGAGCTGAACATGGTAGCATATGTGTAACCCCAGCATTTGGGAGGCTGAAGTAGTAGGATCAGGAGTTCAAAGCCAGCCTGCCTAGATTACATAATGGGACTCTGTCTCAAAACAAAACACAAAACAATATTCTCTATGGGCAATACTACACATGAACAGACCTGTGTGGGCACATTTTTCATTTAAAAAAAAAAGTTTATCTAGCTCCTAAAGTTCTATCCTTCTGATCCTAAAAATTTTCTACAAAAATTCTACAGCACAGAACTACTATAATACTGATACTTGAACATCTTGGAGATGGGCAATGGTAATACTAAACTTTTTTTTTTAAAGAGAAAAAAACCCACAAAATTTCAATACAAGATAATAGAAGGATAACAATGGTTAATACATTTTGTATTGTTACGTTTATTTATTCAGATTACGAGATACAGGCATTTAATTGTCCAATATTAACATAAACTTTACTTTTCAATGAACTAAGAAAAATTAGTAGTATAACTATCTTAAGTATCTTGTCTGTGTGTGTATATATGTATATATATATATTTTGCTTTTCTCTTCTTTTCTAACTTCTTCCATCTCATTTTCTCTTTCCTTTTGAATAGTTTTTTCCTATTTTACAATATCTATTGTACATTTTGGATCTCATTTACTCTTTCAACTTCTCACACTAGGGAGACAGTACAATGTTTGAACACGTGCATCTGGTTTATTTCACTTGTGAGTATGGTCTGTAAAAGTTTTCAGTTTATCCTTCTTTATGGCTGAGTAGTACTCCATTGTATAAAAAGACCACATCTTTTTTATGCATTCCACAGTTGATGGCTGTTTGGGTTGTTTCCAAGATCTACCTATCACAAATTATACTGCCGTAAACATGGGTGCACATGTATCGCTCTGGTACGATGTTTTTAATTCTTCTAGGAAGATACCCAGTAGGGAAACACCTGGGTCAAATGCAATCTCAAATCCTAGTTTTTTGAGGAATCTCCATACTGATTTCCACAGTGGTTGTACCAGTCTACACTACCACGAACAGTGGAAAAGGGTTCCTTTATCCCCATAGCTCCACCAGCATTTGTTATTGGTTGATTTCTTGATAGTAGCCATTCTTTTTGGGGTGCGATGAAATCTCAGTGTTGTTTTAGTTAGCATTTCTCGAATGACCAGTGATGTTGAACATTTTTTTAATATATTTATTTGCTGTTTGTACTTCTTCATCTGAGAAGTATGTGTTCATCTCAGATGCCTATTTTAGGATTGGGTCTTCAAATTTGGGAGGTCTGATTTTTTTTTTTTGGTTGAGTTTTTTGGTTTTTTTTTTGGTTTTTCTCCGGTACCAGGAACCGAACTCACGACCTTGCGCTTGCTAGGCAGGCGCTTTTGCCGCTGAGCTAAATCCCCAGCCCTAGTTGAGTTTTTTATATGTTCTCAAGAGTAATCCTTTGTCTGAGGAACAACTGGCAAACATTTTTTCCTACATTGTGGGTTGTCGCTCTGTTGGCTTCTCTTGTTGTGCAAAAGCTTTTTAATGAGATGAGATCCCAGTTGTTGATTCTTTGTGATAATTCTCTGTGATCAGGATTTTATTCATAAAAGTCTTTGCCTACACCAGTGTCTTCAAGAGTTTTACTTAGTCTGTCTTCCAGCAGAATGTTTCTGTTTTAATATTTACATCTTTGATTCATTTCCAGTTTAGTGCCTGGTGAAAGATAGGTCCAATTTTAATCTTCAGCATATGCACAGCCAGTTTTTGGGGTGCGATGAAAGGATCCTCATTTATTAAAGAGGCTGTCTTTCTTCCAGTGAATGTCTTTGGTACCTTTGTCAAGATAAGGTGGCTGAGTATATCTAGAGTTGTTTTTGCATCTTCTAATCTGTTCCATTGATCTTTGGATCTGTTTTGTTTTGTTTTGTTTTGTTTTTCTTTTTTGCTAGAACCATGCTGTTTTTATCACAGTAGCTTTATAGTATGATTTCAGGTTAGAGATTGTGATGCCCCTACCTTGCCTTTGTTGTCCACAATTGCCTTTGCTAATGTAAGTCTCTTCTGGCTCCAAATGAATTTTAGGATTGTTTTCTCCAATTCTTTGAGATAGGCTGTTGAAATTTTGATCAGAATTGCATTAAATCTGTATAACAGTTTTGGAAGTATGGCCATTTTCACTATATTGGTTCTTCCTACCCAAGAGCAAGGGATATCTGTCCATTTTCTGATATCCTCTTCAAGCTCCTTTTTCAGAGTACTGTAGTTTTCAAAGTAGAGGTCTTTTCCATCCTTTGTTAGATTGATTCCTAGGTATGTCATTTTTTTGGATGCTATTGTGAAAGTTGTTGTTTCCCTTATTCCTCTATCAGTGAGTTTGTTGTTTCTCTACAGGAAGTATATTGATTTTTGAATGTTGACTTTGTATCCAGCTATGCTACTGAATTTGCTTATTAAATCTAGAAGTTTTTTATTGCAGTTTTTGGGGTCTTCTATGTATCTTGTCATCTATAATGATAATTTAATTTCTTCCTTCCCTATTATTTTTTTTTTTTATTTCTTTCTCTTGTCTAATTACTCTGGCTAAAATTTCCTGTGTTGAATAAGAGTGGAGACAGTGGGATGTCCTAGTCCTGTTCCTGATTTTAGAGTGAAAGCTTTCAGTTTTTGTCTACTTAGTATGATGGTAGCTGTTGGTTTGTCATAGATGGCTTTTATTAGATTGAAATAAAGACCACCTATTCCAATTTTCTGTAGGGTTTTTATCATGAATGGGTACTGGACTTTGTCAAAAGCTTTTTCTTTATTGAGATGATCATATGATTTTTGTCCTTGGCTCTGTTAATATGATGATAACATTTATTGATTTACATATGTTGAACCATCCCTGCATCCCTGGGATGAATCCCATTTGGTCGTGGTATATGATCATCTTGATGCTTTGCTGCATTCTGTTTGCCAATATCTTGTTGAGGATTTTTACATCTGTGGTCATTCTGGTGATTGGCCTGTAGTTCTCTTTCCTAGTCAGGTCCGTCTCTGGTTTTTCAGGGTAATGCTTGCTTCCAGGAATGAATTTGGGAGTATTGCTTCCGTTGAATTTCATTAAAGAATTTGAGAAGTAGTGGTGTTAGTCTTCTCTAAATTTCGTGGAGAATTCAGCAGTGAATCCACCAGTGCCCAGGCTTTTCTCTGTTGGTAGGTTTTTAATTACATCTTCAATTTCCTTGATTGATATTGGCTTATTTGGGATTTTTATATCTTCTTGATTCAGCTTTCATAATTCATATCTATCTAGGAATCTGTCCATTTCTTCTGCATTTTCCATCGTAGAGTACAAGTTTTTTTTTTTTTTTTGAGTACAAGTTTTAAAAGTAGGTGTAAATGATCTTCTGTATTTCTGTAGGTTTCATTGTGACTTCACCCTTTTCATTCCTAATTGCATGGATTTGAGTCTTTTCTTTCCTTTTTTTTTTTTTTGATAAAGTTGAATAAGGATTTGTCGATCTTGGGGCTGGGGATTTAGCTTAGCGGCAAAAGCACCTGCCTGGCAAGCGCAGGGTCGTGAGTTCGGTTCCCGGTACCGGAGAAAAACCAAAAAAAAAAAGGATTTGTCGATCTTATTTAATTTTTCTTTTTTCTTTTTTTTTTTTTTTTTTCCTCCGGTACCAGGAACTGAACTCACAACCTTGCGCTTGCCAGGCAAGCGCTTTTGCCACTGAGCTAAATCCCCAGCCCCTTAATTTTTCAAAGAACCAACTCTTCATTGATTCTTTGTATTGTTTTCTTAGTCTTCAATTCATTAATTTCTGCTGTGATCTATATTGAACTTTTTGACTATTACATTTTCAGAGGATGGAGTTTGAGCTGAAGTATATTTAAATCTCAGAGCTAGAAGACCTAAATAAAATTTAGCTTTGCTGAATTGTTTGTGATAAATCATTTATCTTCTCTGGACCTTTGTTTTCCTTTTCTCTAAAATGGTATTATTCTATTAATGATAATACATATGAAAATGCTTTGTAAATTTAAAGCTGTAATTATAAGACATTTACTGTGCCTTGAAAGGGTTCTGCATTATATCTTTGGTAGTTTCCTGCTAAAGAGATAATTAGGACTTCCTTGAGTTTTCTCTTTCGTGAGGTTAATGAATTCTTCTTGTCCACGGGAAAGCCTCCGGATCAAACAGTGCTAGCCAGTAGTCTTCTGAGCCAGGAGCACTTACAGTGGTACTTACTTCATAGTTCAGTAACACTTTATGTGTACCTCAGTACAACTACACATTACACATGTAATTATATTCAAATTAAGACTTAAGAGTATAGCTTCCATTTAATTTAATTTGAATATAATTACATGTGTAAAGTGACCAGATAAAATCCCTTTATACAGTTTTTAGGCAGCACATTTAGCATTATAATTGCATAAATATTTTTGAAGATACTACCTTTATTAAGTACTGTACTTAATAGTACAGAGAATTCAAAGATGAACAAGGCTCAGTTCCTGCCACTGAAGAACATAACTACCTGGTACTTAGGGTTAAACAAGTTGGGAGAAGGGCGCTGATATGGCTCCTGAAGTACAGTAGGTCCAGCAGTGTTTCATACACTAGCTATCCTGGGAATGAGCAAGGATAGCCAAAGAAAAATTGTGTTTGATTAAACTGCCCTTTAAGAGCCTTACAATACCAGTTAGGTACAGTTTTATTTATGTAACGCACTCTTTCCTCTTTTTTTCTTTTTTCTCTTTCTCCTTTTCTTTCCCTCTCTCTCTTTCTCTTTCCCTCTTTCTTTCTTGTACTGAGTATTGAATTTAGAGAGTGCTGAGCTACATCCCTGGACCCTGTTTTTGCTTTTTTGTGTGTGATGGAGTCTCGTTGGGTTGCTCAAGTCAGCCCCGAAATTGCAGTTCTCTTGCCTCAGTTTTCCTAATAGCTGGAATATAGTAATTTGTTTGTTTGTTTGTTTTGGTCATCTTGAGACAGGGTCACCCTATGCAGTTCAGGCTGGCCTTCAACTCACTATGTAGCCCAGGCTAGCCTTGAACTCGCAGCAATCCTCCTGCTTCAGCCTCCCAGTGCTGAGATTACCGGCGTGTGCCATCATGCCTGGCTTTATAGTAATTTTTAATACATGGTGAAGTTAAAGAACTGGGCTAAAATAAGAGAAAGAAGTTCATATACAGATACTCAGACATTAGACTTTTCTACGTTTAACATAACTGTCAGGGGGATTCATAGAGAATAGGAAAGTATTTTTATTTGTCCATTATAGTTTAAAATGTGCTAATGGTCTTCTAAGAATGAACATGTGAAAATACCCAGCATAGACCCTGAAACGTAGTAGCTACTCAGTACATTTTAGTTGTAGTTTTTTGTTTTTTGTTTTTTATACTGGGAATCAAACTCAGGACCTTCCACTTGCCAGGGAAGCACTTGTGCCACTCAGCTGTATCCCTATTCAGTACATTTGAGTTTCATCTTAAATCTCAGTGTATCCACCACTGGTGTTTGAAATGTTGTAGGGAATAATCTAACCACAGTGCTTTTGTGTCTTTCTCAATTGATATTTTCTGTGTAATTCTGCTGAATTGTGCATTATTCTTGTCTCCTTTGGCATTGGTCTCATTTTAGTGGAAGGTTAAGTTCCAAAGTATATTGTTAAATGTGCACTCAATGTCATTACTCTGTGTTGTACCTTTTTTTGACATTACAATTTCTTTTTCAGAAGTTTTATTCTTGAGAGAATAATTTTTTAAATGTTGTAAGATAGACACATTCTATTTCCGTGGCTTATACTTTTGAAAATTTCATTGCACTTTTTTTTTTTCTTTTTTGTGGTGCTAGGGATCAAACCCAAGGCCTTGTGCATGCAAGGCAAGAGCTCTACCACTGAGCCACATCCCCAACCTTACAGTTCTTAATGAGATTATTTTGTTTTAAATAAAGCATGACTCTGAGGCTATCTTAATTTCCAGCTTCTCCTATTATCCTTTTAAAAATAATCTTTAGAAAGTTGACATCTGAAGACTTCTTTTTTTCAACACTGAGTATCAGTATTTCTTCCTTCTGCAGAGAAAATTACAGTCTGTTAACAAATGAATACCTTAGCAGGGCTATTAATTTGATCCTGTATAACCATCACTCTGATTCTATTTATGGCCAAGAATTGCTCTTAGTGCTGACTGGCTATTTCATAGCAGTTACATGAGGATAAGGACTAGAAGTAGGATTGTACCTTCAGACTGTGTACATTATGTATTCTGAGTGTATAAAAAACAGTGGGCTTTAAGGAACAGGCATAGTGAAACAATTTAGGGTACTGTTGTTCCTTTTGCTTCATGTTAAGTATGATTCTTTGTCTCTTGTACCAGGATATGAATTGTCTCCCACAGCAGCAGCTAATTTTACACGTCGAAACCTGGCTGACTGTCTTCGGAGTCGGGTAAGCAGTATTAGCTGGCAGCCTTAGATGAGAGCAGGAAAATGTCCTTTTATATATTCCTGTTGTACATGAGTAGTATTTCTGCCTTTTTTGGCCTTCCTGAGCCCTTCCTGTTGCTACTTACCCTTTTTAGTCCCTTTGGATTTGTTTTCTTTTTCTGCACAGTTGCTGATTAAAGCCCCAAAAGCAAATATATATTCCCAAAGTTTGGGGCACACTAATATGGTCTGTGGCAACCCTGTGGCCCATACCTCAAGGGCCATTTTTTGAGGGGAAGGAGGTCAGTTTTAGGCTCATTGCAAAATGAAGAGGCAAGTACAAAGAATCTTGCCTGCCCCCATGTAGCATCTCGCAGTTATCAACATCCACCAGAGTGGTACATTTGTTACAGCTGATGAACCTCTATTGACACTTAAAGTTCGTAGTTTACAGTAGGGTTCTCTCTTAGTGTTACATATTCTTTGGGTTCGGACAAATGTGTAATGACCTGTAAACCATTGCTATAGTATTACACAGAATATTTTCACTGCCCTAAAAATTCTCTGTGCTCCACCTATTCATTCTCCTTCACCTGCTCAACTTCTGACAACCGCTGGTCATTTTACTTTGCCATAGTTTTACCTTTTCCATAATATCATATAGTTGGAATCATACCTTGTGGAGACTTTTCATGTTAGCTTCTTTCACTTAGTAATATACACTTAAAGAGGAATTCCTCCATGTCTTTTCATTGCTTGATAGTTCATTTTATTTTATTTTTTTTGGTACCGGGAATTGAACTCAGGGCCTCACACTTGCCAGGCAGGTGCTGGGCCACTAAGCTACATTCCCGGCCCTGATAGCTCATTTTTAACACTGAATAATATTCTATTGTTTAGAAATATAGTTGTTTTTTTTTAATCCATTCACCAAGTAAAGGACATCTTAATTGCTTCTAAATTTGGACAATTACAAATAAAGGTACTATAAATACTGATATGCCAGTTTTAGTTTGGACAGAAGTTTTCAACTCTTTGAAATTTTCAACAGTCACAGGAATGTGATTGCTGGTTTGTACAGTATGTTTGGCTTTGTAAGAAACTGCCCAATTTTTCTTTCAAAGTGTTTCAATAATGAACCATTTTTCTTAATTCCTGTGGCTGAACATCCCTGCAAGGCAGTGGAGGTAGATAATGCAGATTTTCATTTTAAAATGGTTCACATCTTTCTATGACTTTAAGCCAGAGCTCAAATTGTTTCTTCTGACTTTTCCAGGCCTCGTTGTGTCTTAGAACTGTCTCAGTTCCACTGAGAGCATGTTAAAAGATGCACCATTAAAGATTGAATGCATTAAAAATTGTGTAGGGTGTGCCAAGGAAGTTTATGATTGCTAAAGGTGTGTATTATTCCCTTACCACAGGGAATAAGTAAATAGAGCTTTAACCATGTGACCCTACCCCCTGTGCCTGTTTACTCATCTATGAAATCGAGATAACTTCCCAACCCCACAGGAGTGCTAGGAAAATGAATGCTTGTAAATCATAATATTTAACATTCATATGACTTTTGCCCAAAGCATTTTGCTTAATAATTTAATCTACTCACTATTCCATTGAGACAGATAGTAGTTAATTCTGTATCACTGATACGAAGTGAAAGGCATAAAGTGACAAAGGGATTAGCTCAGGTAATACAGCAGGTCAGATAAAGCTACAATAATGATACGTAATTACATTATTTGACTATTTTACCTTAAAGTCAGCACTTTGGTTCTTCAATAGTTTCTAGAACCCTGGTGTTGTTCATGTTCGGATTTCATCTGCACTTAAACTGAGTTATGCAGAATCTAAACAAGTATAGAAATTGTTATTTATAAACTTACAGATCTTTAAATCAGTTTGTTTTTCAGTGCCTAATACTGCTAGACTGAGAACATCTCAGTAAGTGGAGTCTCTGGGATTACCTTTGGCCAAGCACTTATGCGTTCTGAATGATCATGAAGACTGAAGAGAATGAGAGACATGGTGCATTGGGAGGAGACAAATTTACATAACTTGTTTTGATCTGGGTGAAAAGTCAGTGTTCTTTTCTTGTCCCTTCCTCCTTGAAAGAGGAAAATGGGTTAGGTACTAGCTTTCCGGCCACCCAAAAGTTCAGTATTCAGTGAAGAGTACAGTATGTCATGGCTCCCTATGTAAATGTTTCTCTGACTTACCAGGCAGAGCTGAAATAAGAATTTCAGCTTTGGGCACAATAAACACTTTATCATTAAATACTGCAGACATTAAGTAAATTAAGCTCCTTTTAGAATTGAGATAAGAGTGGCAACATGCTTCATGCAAATGCAGTGAATCCCATTAATCTTCTCGTAGCAGAAATGTTTGATGTCTTAAATATCCCTTGTAGACAGTAAGATGGGGCTCTAGTAAATATTGACTAACTCTGCTTTGTGCTTCTACTATGGGTCCAATCTTTGTTCCTCACTCCCTTATCAAAATAGATTGTTGATTCTAAAATAGGAGTTTGAAAGAGGTGGCAATAATTTTGTCTTTCTACTAAGTATAGTCACTAAATTTGGTACATTCACATAGTCACACTAGTTGGCACATGAGACTTTTTTGGCTTAGCCAGTTACTGTGGATAACTTTACATCTCTGACTCAAAATTACTTGATATCCAGTCACTGAGTGTTTGTATAGTGGAGGGGATATTGGGTTGGAAAGACATTTATTTACCATGGAGCATATAATGAAGTTTGTGTAAACTGATTGATTAAGATGCAGGCAATTTAGCTTTGTGGTTAAGGGGAAGAACTCTGAAATTAGACTGCTAGGGTTGCATGTCTGCTTACTGACTGAATAGCTGTGTCTCTGGGTGAATTTAAGCTTAGTTTTTGCTACTTAGAAAATAATGGAACTGGGCATGATGGTACATGCCTGTAATTCCAGCACTCAGGAGGCTGAGGCAGGAGGATCACTGTGAGTTTGAGACCAGCCTAGGCGACAAAGTGAGCTCAAGGCCAGCCTGAACTGCATAGCAAGACCTTGTCTCAAAAAAAAGACACACACCCAAAAAAAAGAAAATAATAGTACTGTATACATTTGTTATAAATAGTGAGGTAATCATGCAAAGCTCTTCACACAGTATGTGGCACATATAACAGATTAGTAGATGATTTTTGTTTATATACTGCTAGTACTGTTTGGTTGGAGAAGATATTGCTTTTTTTTGGTGGTGCTGAGGATTAAACTCAGGGCCTACACTGAGCTACATTGCCAGCCTTTTTGTTATTTTTAGACAGGATCTTGCCAAATTGCTCAGGGTGGGCTTAAATTTGTGACTCTCCTGTCTTAGCCTCCCAGAGTGTTGGGTTTACAGCATGTGCCACCATGCCCAGCTGAAGGATTTAATGGCATACATTAGCTTGCCATGGGGATTTTTTATTGTGCTGTTTTGTTTTTTGTTTATTAGATTGATTGATTGATTGATTGATTTGTAATATTGGGGATTAAAGTAGGGGGCTTTGCACTATACTACATCTCCAGCCAGGTTTTCATTTTTTACTTTGAGACAAGGTCTCTCTGAGTTACTAAATTGCCCAGGGCTCAAACTTAGGATCGTTCTGCCTCAGCCTCTGATCACGGGTGTGTGCTGCCATTCCTAGCTGTTTTTCTTATTTTAGTTGAAAAGATCTGTTAATAATCTTATTTTAGTTGAAAAGATCTGTTAATAATCTTTACTATGGATAGGGAAATAGAAATAAACATTGAAGATCAGTTATATGCCAGGATTTGTTCTAGAGCTACACAGTCCAGTGTGTTAGCCACCAGTTTTACAGGGCTATTTAAATTTAAATTAATTAAAGTTAAATAAAATTTTAATTTTTTTTTTTGAGACAAGATCTTGCTCTGTAGTCCATGTTGGCCTTGAATGCACTTTGTAGCCTAGGCTGGCGTCGAACTCAAAAAAGTCCTCCTGCCTCAGCCTCCTGAGTGCTGGGATTACAGGCATGAGCCACCACACCCGGCCTAAAATTTTTGATCAATAGAAAAAAATCAATTTTTCAGCCACAGCCACTTTTCAACTGCTGAATAGCTATCCATATTGGGTATCTGTGGTTATAGATCAATTCCACTGTAACAGAAAGTTCTGTAGGATGGTACTCTTTTAGAGACTTACATGTGGTTCTGTTTCTTATGATTCTATATGATGCCTATTATCCCCATTTTATTTACAAGAGTGCTAAAACTGGGTCATAGAGAGAGTGTTTCCCTTAATATGTCCAGGTACTGTATATGTGTTTAAAGGTACATGGAAATAGACTGTAAAAGGTTGAGCTAAAGTTCTAACTTAAAATATACTCTTTCATGCATTGTGTTTTGATTTGGTTTTCTGTTTTTTTAGTTACTAGAGTAATGTACAAGTATATTTGTACATTTAGGGGATCCTGAAATATCATTTCTATTAAAATGTCAAAATACCAACATAGGTTATATAGGTAAGGTATGAAGATGTGCCCATTGCAGGTATCAGCTGAATAAATATTATTCACATAGGTCCACGTATACCGCTGAGAATATTATTATTTATACAGTAAAAGGAAATTACAGTAAATTATTTTTAGTGAATATAGGGGGAAAAAATTAAAAGGCTTTGAGCTTTTAATTTAAATGCACGTGTACTTTACATTGATCTTCTGTAATCCCAGCTCTTGGGAGGCTAAGGCAGGAGGATCACTATGAGTTTGAGTCCATCCTGGACTACAGAGTGAGTTCAAAGTCAGCCTGAACTGCATAGTGAGACCCTGTCTCAAAACCAAAAAACAAACACACATTGATCTCTTCCTGGTTAGACCCAAAGGAGTAGAGAAAGGTCTTATTCTGCTTTTCCCCCTGCAATTTAAAATATTTCTTTACCCAATTTAAAATATTTATCAGTCTTCTTTGAGTATGGGCTTAGAGTCAAAATATGTCAGATTTCCAACCCCTTTTTTTGTACTTACTAGTTTATATAATCTTGAA